AACGGTCTTGCCTGTTGTTTAGTTCCTTCAGAAATGATGAACCTTGCAGATAACCGTGATTTCCCAACGAATGGCGTTTTTCCATTGATGTTAGTTTCTATGATTGAAACAGAGAGGGAGAGAAGAGCTCTCAATATCCCTGTTGTTATCATTCCACGTTCCTTTCTCTCTCCCTTATTTCTCAAACACAGCTGTTGATTTATAGTTCCTTTGCGGTCTCTGTGCCATTATTTCATTTCAAGCTGGACAGTTGTAGGAAACTTCTCATCTCTCAATATGTGAATTTATCACGCAAGTACAAGTAAAATAGGAATACAAATTCCTTGTCCCCTCACTGAGTTGCAGTATCTCTAAACTAAAGTGAAATTCCAAAGCAGCTAACTTTGTATAATCCATGTGGCTGCTGGTTTCCATCAAGTGATCATAGCAGCTATTTTAGTCTGTAGCGTCCTTTTCAAAAAGCATTTCTTGGTCCACAGTAGTCTCCAGTATTAAAGTCAAATGGTGAAAGGTGAATATTTATAGCCTTTTTTCACTACGATCATAACAGAGTCCAGATAGTCAATGTCTAGTGAAGGTTCTTGCAATTGTCTTTTCTTCCATAATTCCCTTTTCATAGAAGTTTGGATGCAGGTGGTTGCAGTTGGAGGTGCAGCAATGTGATTCTTACAGACTGGGAACAGAAGATTCCTTCCCAGAAATCTGTTTTCAAGGGGTTTGAGAATAGAGGCAAGCTGGAGCTGAGTTTTATAGAACTTATAATTTTCTGTTTCAAATCAGACTGAAAGTTGTATAATTAGAGCGATTCAACAATCATGTGCTTCAGGGTTCCTGGGCAAGACAGTTTAACTTAATAAGAGAGTTCAATGTCTCTGGTCAAAAACCATTGTATGTCATCATTCACTGATAACTATGTGGCCATTAACATCACTTCTGGTAGAATGAGATTCAATGGTTTTATTTCAAACCAAACCCAGCTGGGGAAAAAGACAACATCTCTTGCTCCTTTTGAGGGTATCAGTGCAATGTTCACACAATGGGAGCTGTGAGATTCCAGAGAACATTTGTTCTGATAACTGCTAAAAATTTCTATAAGCAACCGATGTGAGCGGTCAAAGTAGCAATTTCAAACCTAGCAAGGGTCAATTTTTAAAATTGACCAAGAGGGTATAGTTTTTTTTTAAAAATCATAATCTCTCTTCGTGCCTTGTAGGTATGAGCAGATATAAATGTTTTAGCGTGCCAGTTCCTTTGGGGTTTGAGGATGCTGTAATAAATGATGGCCTAGCGGTATTATCATTGGACCATTAATGCAGAGACCCAGCTAATATTCTGAGGACCCAGGTTTGAATCCTACCATGGCAGCTGGTGGAATTTAAATTAAATAAGAATCTGGGAAATAAGAGTCTCATGATAACCATAAATCCATTGTCAATTGTCAGGAAAACCCATCTGGTTCACAAAGGCCCTTTAAGACCTTATCTGGTCTGATCTACATGTGACTCCAGACCCACAGCAATGCAGTTGACTCTTAATTGCCCTCCTGGATGGGCAATAAATGCTGGCCCAGCCAGTGATGTCCTCATCCGTGAATGAATAAAAATAGGTGAATTATAAAAGATGAGGTGACACTGAGGTTCTTGATTAGTTGCCCATGGTCAAGGCACTATTTTCATTTGAAAAACCAGTGCAGAGATTTTATGCTGTGATTTGTTCCAATATGAGATGCGCTGCCTAAAAAAGTGGTAGACGTTGAATTATTAACATTTCAAAGGGTATTGGAGAAATACCTGAAAGGGAAACATTTGCAGTTCTCTGGGGAGAGAGTAGAGGGAGTGGGATTCTGGCATGATGGGCTGAATGATCACAATTTGAGCTATATCATTCTATAGCCACTAGCGTACAGCCAAAGCAAATTTTGTCAGCTTTAGCCATAATGCGTCTGCACTGTAAGGTGCAGCTATAAGGTGCCCTATAGCAATCGGCTGTAGCTGTATTATATCCTATAGAGAGCTGCCTGTATATTTGGCTTGCTTAGAATGGTTGGCTAATGTTAAAATGAATGCATATCAACAAGATTTAAAATAATACTAATTACAGATGTAACATGAGATAACAAGGTGTAGAGCTGAATGAACACAGCAGGCCA